TTCAGAGGCCGCCTTACAAGCAGAAAGGAATCCAGAGAAGTATCATACACATTTTGCTATGAACTTCAAGAAATTCCGTTTTTCTGCAAGGATTGTGTGGTATTTGATTGACCGTGACAGGAATCATTTAGAGAGTTTTCTTCACAACTCCAACAGTAGATTTGTGCAACATGCATGCTATCAACTTCGTGAGTATGTTCAGGCGCGTGTTGCAGTTTCTGATCCCTTGTATGAGATGATCAAGAAGGAAGAGTTTGAACGCCAATACAATTCCAAGTTTTTGGAGGCGATTTCTTGCTCTCGTGTTGTAGTTGAGCCTGTAAGTTCAGGGACGTATGAGCCATCATCGAAGCTGAACTTAAAGGTACTACAAGACATCCTGAAGGGTATCTTCAAGATCCAGAAGGATGAGGAGCTTGCCAAGGAACGTGATGAAGAAGAAGAACAGGCAGCTCAAAACATCTCATACCTGTTGGCAGATGATATGGAGCTTGATTTTGATGATGATGATGTTCCAGTATGGCGCTCCATTGTCAACAAGTACAGAGAAAGTGATCAGGTGCTACAGGGAGAAGCTGTGAAGATTACTCACCTGTTCAGGGATCAAAAGGACAATGAGAAGGCGACAGAAGCTTTCAGTTCAGAGAGGACAGATTTTTATGAGACCTCAGGACCTCTTCCAAGAACCGAGGGAGAAAATCTTGTAGAGGACTTGCTCACCAAGGATGTTGCAGAACAAGCTTTTGAAGCAGGTGAAGAAGTTCCTCCTTATACAAGAGTCTCCACTATCGCTGGTGAAGTTTATACTGGAAGTATGACACTTCTGGAAGATGAGGATATGGAAGAGGAAGTTCCTGAAGAAGATCCTGCAGTTGAACCTGGAAAGGAACAAGAAATATTTGACTAAGATGCAGGTGTTTTTCCTTCAGAGGAACTAAAGATGGAAGTTGACCAGGAGGAAGCCAAGGAAGAGTCAACACCACACTTTCTGTCAAGAGAGATAGGTGAGGACTCGACTGCATCGCACTTACCATCAGGTGAGATGGATGCTAACCTTGATGATACTTCAGGTCAGCGGAAATCTAAGAAAAGCCGCCTGAATAAGATTCCTGATCCTCATTTTCATGAAGAAGTTCAGGATGATGCAACCATGGAAGAGAAGAAAGAGGCGGTGGAGAAGATAAAGGAGGTCAGAGAGGATGATGGAGAGAAGAAATTGGAGGCTGAAATCCAAGAATCTTTTCCATCTGAAGTAGTTGTTGAAAAGGATACAACAAAAGTTGACAATACCTATGAGTTGCACACTTCACCTTTAAGGTTGCTTGGAGAGATTACAGGAGATCCAGGTATTGGCTTTTATCAACTATGCTTCAGGGAAACTCATGCAAGATTGCTGAATCATGTTTGTTTCAGAAAAGGTGAGATTTCCCATCCTCATTATCAGTCAAGGATCGACGAGAATGATTTTGTTCGATCCATTCGCAATATCTGTCCAGTACCTCCACCTGATTGTTATGAACATGAACCAGAGCATGATTTGAAGAGATTCTTCATCAATGATGACCGCATCATTTATTTGGATGGCAGGTATCAGGTCGATCCAAAGGCCCTTGAAAGGGCAGGTCATGCTCGAGAAGAATTGGAGGATACGAAAAAGGAACTCAAGAAGGAACTGGAATCATATGGTCCCAAGGGACCCAGTTGGGACTTTGTCACCTTCTATGAAGAGCTGTGCAGAAGGTTCCTCAAAGGAAGAATAGAAGAACCATATGGAACTAATTTATTGGCCAGCTCAGAGTCCTTGACATTTTTATCCTGGAACTATGGCAACATGGTTCGTGGTCAGAAGTACACCACACCAAGGTTTCTCCAAGGACTTGATAGTGCAATGAGGCCACGCAAACAGAGCGCCATGTCACTTCAGAATGAGCAATTTGAGAACAACCTTTTCTTCAACATGCTCTTCTTTTTACGTGCACATGTCGTGATTCTCCAGGAAGCTCATCTTCTTGTTCCTGCCAAGGAATTTATTGAGCAAAAGAATTGGACAGTTTGTTTCAATGATTGGGAGAATCTTGCAGTGATGGCTAGATTGGCGCCAGGTGGATATGTCAAGATCATTGCTGGACATGATCAAGAACTTGGTCACTGTGAACAGCGTGATGTAACTTGGGCTATCTACGAGATTTGTTTTGGAGAAACAAGGCCTCGTCAAGATTTCAAGGATGCAGACTTTGAATTTGATGACTATGGTCCTGAGGACAAGCGTGTTCCACTTACTCGAGCGAACATGCATACCATCAGAGTCTGTAATTATCATGTTGATACACACCGTGCTGTGGATGCCCACCTACTGACAGGAGAACAGACAGCATTGATGCTTTACGAGTGTTTTGTCTATGAGGTGGACATCATTTCTGGTGATGCAAATAGTTTGGCCTACAGAATGTCTGGGTACAAAAGGCAGCCAATGGCTAACTACTATTACAGCACCATGCAGCATTGGATCCGCAGGTTTTCAGAAGCTCGTGTCAAAGCAGATCCTGGTATCAAAGCACCTATTCCCAGAACATTTTATAGTTCAACTTCACAGGTCCTCAAGAAGTGTGAAGTTTATTTTGATAAACTCTGGGAAGAATACTCTACTGTTGAGAAAGAAGAATACCAAGGATCACAGCTTGGCGATACATGTTTGTCTACCATTGTTGAATGGGGTCATTCAATGAGTGAAGAGGAGTATGAAAATTCCACAGTGAGCACGAAGGAGTTCATCTGTAATTTTTCAGAGAACTTTGCTATGATTGACACAGAGGTTATGTGCTCAAGGCCCACTGACGAGGACAGTCATGGTCCAATGTTTATTTCACTCAGACCAGCTTCCTTTTCATCTGGAGACAGAAGACAGTATCGCATGGGAGCAACGCTTCATGAGGCGAACGTGCGGAGGAAGGAGAGACAAAAGCAGAATAAAAGGAAAGGAAGGCCGCCAACTTCTGATCAAGCAACTTCATCGTTTGCAGCGGCATAATTCCTGAGCGAAGGCTGAAATTTAAATGATGGCTAGGAAGTGAAGATACTTCTGGTTACAGTTGATACTTTGCTTCCAGGCTTGACTTTAAGTTGCCAGGCTGAAGTTTTAATAAATTCTGGTTTGCAATGAGGAGAAACTTTTTATCAAAGAAGATACTCCTGCATTCCAGGTTTATACGCTTTAGCATGCAGATAGGTATAGACAGTTTTGCATAACTGATGATATCTATCACAGCCGCTGTTTCTGAGATGACCTCTAATGGACAACCATTCATGGTTGATGATTAAGTCATTTCATAAGTCTGCATTTGTAGTGCAAGTTTTGTACATACATTTGTCGGTATCTCCTTCTTGTGTTTTTGATGTGAATGTGAAAGAGAGTCCTTTTGATGCAGTTTATTTTGTCTGTGAATGAAAGCGGTCGAGACCACGTCACGAGAAGATTATTCCTCGGACCGTACGCTCCTTGCATTTTGCAAGGCATCTTAATTCATTGCATTGTGCGGTCTTGAATTTTTAGTTCTTTGTTACGCGAGTGTCGTTTGATTCTTTTATAGGTCTCTGTAGAGAAAAAGCCGCTTTCCCTTTTAGTTTGATTTAGCTCAGGCCCTAAAGAGCTAGTGAGCGCCGGTACATGGTATCTCCGCCTGCGAAAAGTACAGTCTCCAGCCGAGGTACATTATCGCTTTGATTTTGTACTTGAGGTGAGTCAGCTATTGCTCCCTCACTGTATTTAGTAGCTATGAGATTACCTTCTCCAAAGTGTGAAACACACTGGATTAGGTAAGTACATGGCACCGTAGTTTTCTTTTAAGTTGTCAGAGCTAGCTGGACTGATTTAGCCTTGCAGTAGAAAAAGAGTATGCGACATACGCAATCAGCTAGAAGTGGACATGAATCTTGTGCCTGCTGAAAAGTAGAGCCTACTTGTACAGGGTTCCACTCCAACAGCTGATATAGTGTGTCCATGCTTGACTGCTTCAAGGCTCAAAGAGCAAGAGGATAAGACTCTGCGCATAAAAGACACTAGCGGTCTGCACCTCTACCGTGTACGCCCTAGTCAC